CGCACTGTTTATCATCAGGCTTGGCTGATGTCGTTGCTGCTTCAGATGCCAGGAGGAGCAAAGCAGCTCCTATCTTTGGCTCGCACAGAAAGTGACAAGGGCCCGTTGTCTTCATCGTGTTCGGAGTCTAGTTCCTGAGGTTACACACGACTCTAGAGATGGCTCTGCCGAGCGAGCCTTATGGAACAGCAGCTGCGGGCCTGCTTTAGTCACAGGACTCACCGCCAGAAAAACGCCGTTAGATCGCTCTGTCCATCCCAACCTCCCGCACAGCTGGTGTGGGTCTGTCTGTCCTGCCTGTACATGCCTTGTGCATGTCTGTATTTCCTCATCCCTCTTCCTCCCAGCTGGTGCGGCTGTCTGTTTTGACCTCTCCTGCCTCTTCCCACATGCCACCTCATGTGTTTCTGTCTTTCCTGACCCCCCTATCTCTCAGATGGTGTGGATCAGTCTGTCTTGACTCCCCCATATCCCAGCTCATGGTGGTCTGTCTGTCCCAACCTGCCTCTCCCACCACCAGGACAGAGCTGTTCCCTCTTGTGTTGGCAGGTTTCCAATTTTTAGTGTTGTCTCTATTATGCAAACCAGGAATAAAAGTAAGGTCTGAATCTAAAATGTTGATCATCCTCTAAGCAGTTTTACTAACTGGCTTCTTTCCTTCTTTCTCTCTCTCTCACCACACAGGGGGGTACCTACAGGCAAGGCACCCAAAGGATAGAGGGTCAGACATCTGGGCAAAATGTGTGTGTGAAGCTTCAACCTCTGCTGAACTGTGCCTGTTCGAAGGGTGAACATAGGATCGCAGCCCGCTGTGTGTCAGTCCAGCACTTCCGTCTTTTCTTCAGTGCTAAAGCCACTTTGATCAGAGATTTGGAGGAAGATGAGAGCAGTGGCAACTGGTGCCACCCAGAGGGGCAAGGAGGAGGCACGTGGGAGGATAGCAATAAAGATTTAGGTGGGGACAGCACATCTCCGGAGTGCTACCACGAGTCCCCTGTGGGTGAGAGCTGAGCACAGTCTAGGTGTTCAGACTGACCTGTTACATAAATGGAACCACCTACATTGAGAATGCTCTGAAAATGCTGTTAATGCATCACCACCCTCGCAGACATACAAGCTGTGATCTATCTATCTATCTATCTATCTATCTATCTATCTATCTATCTATCTATCTATCCTCATATATGCATCTATCTGTTGTGAGCAAGACATGAGAAGTCATTCTTCCGCTCTACTCTGCGCTGATTAGGCCTCAATTGGAATATGGTGTCCAGTTCTAGGCACCACATTTCAAGAAAGATGTGGAGAACTAGGAGACAGTCCAGACAAGAGCAAGAAGAATGATTAAAGGTCTAGAGAACATGAGCTATGAAGAAAGACTGAAAGAATTGGGCTTGTTTAGCTTGGAAAGGAGAAGACTGAGAGAGGTGTCTAAAAGGGTGTCACAAGGAGGAGGGAGTAAAATTGTTCTCCTTAGCCTCTGAGGATAGGACAAGAAGCATTGGGCTTAAAGTGCAGCAAGGGAGGTTTAGGTTGGACATTAGGAAAAACTTTCTACCTGTCAGGGTGGTTAAACACTGAAATAAGTTGCCTAGGGAAGTTGTAGAATCTCCATCTCTGAAGATATTTAAGAGCAGGTTGGCTAGATATCTCTCAGGGATGATCTAGATGGTGCTTGGTCCTGCCATGTGGGCAGGGGACTGGACTTGATGACCTCTTGATGTCTCTTCCAGTTCTAGTGTTCTATGATTCTATGATTCTATACGCATCTATCTATCTGTGTATCTATCTATCTATCTATCTATTTCTGCTCCAGAGAGCTGACAATCTAAGTAACATTTATTGAATGAAACACACTGTTATTGTTCGTATGTTATTGTTCGTAATGGTCAGGGCTCGACAAATCAGTGAATCTACTCGCCCATGGTGAGTAGATTTCAGCTGGTCGCCCCGTTCACCGGCAGCACGCGCATGCACAATGCGGGTCTGGCGCATGCGCAGTGCGGGGCTGGCGAGTAGATTTCGCTGCGGTTTGTCAAGCCCTGGTAATGGTGATAGCCCAGCTTCACAGACAGGCTCCGGGACACACTCCTCCTGCAATCTCCCTGCTCCCCTTTGGGAGATAGATTCTTATGAGTTTTAGCCAGCAGCTGCCAAGAGCACAGTGGAGAGAGGACCAAAGCCACATCCAAAGGCTCTCCAGTTCCCTCTCTTCCTTCTTTACTTTAGTGACTCGGTGGTGTGCATGCAGCTGCTTGGGATGGATGTTGGGAATGAATGTGCAACACCCAGAGAAACTCCCACAGCCAGACCCAGCTGTGGTTCAGCTCTGTGCCATATCGCTCCAAAGCAGACAGCACCCAAATGAGGCCAAAAGGAAAAAGGAGAAATGCTGCCTGGGCACAGGCTGACCCAGGAGCCTTTCTCTGGTGCAGAGCTGTGCTCTGATCCTGTTTCATTCACAAGTGAAGAAAAGATGGAAGAGAGCAAGAAGGGTGAGACTCCAGCCCTGCCAATGCCTCCCCGTGGACCTGCAGCTGCCGCCCCTCAAGCCTGATATGCAAAAGCCCTGGATGTGTTTCTCCTGGTACCTCAGCCAGGTTGGCATCCAAGTTTGCTGGTGTGCTACCCAGCCCTGCCCACTGCTGAGCTGCGCCCCATTTGTATTCATAGAGCTACTAAAAATAAAAAGTGACTCATATAAGCCACTGGGTTAAACTGAGCACTGAGTAAGTCTGATTACTAAGGCTAATGGAGGAACATGCAATGACGGGACGGGCGCAGCCGCCCGACGCCTTGCCAGCTGCCACCAAGTGTGACATCAGTGTTGTATTTCTGGTTTCTATCCTTTCTGTTCGGGCGCCTTCCTTTTCTCCTTCTTCCAGTGGGTTTGGCTATATGTGCTGGGCTGACACCTTCCCAATGGCGCTGCTGGGAACTTCCTCCTGACAGTGCCCTTCCCCTGGTCTGCAGACTTGTGCTCTGATAGGCTGGTCACCAGACGTCTCCACACAGACACTTGACTCTCCGTCGGCAACCCCAAGGGAAGGGCGTCCGTCTGTTACAGGTGGCCGTCTGTCACCTCGGCTGGGTGATGAGGGGGTTTTCCAACACACCTTGCTTAGGAATGGAGAGGTAGCTTGTCCGCTCCTTGGGGCGGGGACAGTGGTTTTGTTCTGTGGCTGTACCGCACCTAGCGTGGTGGCGTCTTGGCCCATGACTGGGCCGCCTAGATAATAACAGGGAGCAGGCAGCCCTGCCTTTGAACTTCACTGGCTCCAAGTCTGCGCTCGCCTACAGCAGCTGTTGTAAATTCCATTGATGACAACAGAATCACCTCTGCTCTCTCTGAGCTAGTGGACACAATGGTCACATCCCGTGCTCTTGCCTCTGTTCGGTCCAGGAGGAACCATTTTCCTCCCAGCTCCGGGATGTAGCTACAGTCAATCCGCAGTCAATCCTGCGGCTGGCTCTTGGCAAGAGGGACAGCAGGCAAAGGGGGCAGCAACAGCCCAGGTTGTAAGTGTCTCCTTGGATTATTTATCATGTAAACAAGAAAGATGTGATGTTGGAGCACCTGCTGCTCTGTGCCTCGGAGACTTGGAGCCTTCAAGGCATCTCCAGTTTCAGGCCACAAGGGTCGTATATGGGGACTAACCCATTCAGGACTTTAAATACGGATCTGGGCCAAATTCAGCCCCCAAATAGCTGAGGCCCGTCTATCGTAGGCATTTCCATTGCATCAATCCCTGTGATACTGGAACCCTGACATTGGAGAAAGGCCAGGGATCATTTTAGCTCATTAGTATTTAGTGGCTCAGTTTGGAGTGGGCAGCGTGGCGGGGGCAGGGAGAAATGTCCACACTATTTAGCACATACACACAGAACTTTACACCTGCTGAGTGATGAAGCGCCTCTGGAAATCAAGCTCCCTTGGATTTTGTGAAACAGAGAACGACTCCTGAAGAGGTGAATGGGAGAATGGTCTTGCTGCTTCCCACAACATGCCCCAGGGCCTAGCACAGTTCGGACCCCTGGGCTAATCAAGCCCTGGTGGAGGCTAGAACATTCGTTGCAACAATGTATCACCCTAAGTACCCAACAGTCTGTTTGGATTCCAGTCTAGATGTGTGTGGTATGTGGGGTACTGGACAAAAATGCAACCCTGTGTAAAGCATTTCCCAGCATGAGCTAATTAATCGTCGCGGGGGAGGGGGTGTGGGGGTGCCCAAGCCCCTGAGGTCCTGGTAGGCAGGTTGGTGTTATTAACCCCATTTTGCAGATGGGAAGAGTGACTCATAATGAGGGGCGAGGCCACAGAACACATCATTGCTCAGAGATGGGATCAGAGCCTCAGAACTGCTGGCACCCAGTCCTGCATTCAGCACCTAGTACGTGCCCTCCCCTTAGTGAACACCTCATCTGGGCTGGCTTGAGCCATTCCTGTGTCCCGGGCAGCGGGTGCGCGACGCATGCGCAGCTCCACCCCTGGGTGCACAGCACATGCGCGGACCCATCCCCCCCTCCCGGTGCACTGTGCCCCATAGCACTGCCATTAGGTGCCACGCGGCTGCGCGGCGCCCCTTAGAGCTGCTATCAGGCGCCCCCTATAGGTCAGCGCCCTGGGCAGCTGCCCGGCTAGCCTCCCCCTTAATCCAGCCCTGCACTTCATGTAACTCTGCCTAGGCAGTGTTTCCATTCGCTCACCTTCCCTGGAACCCCCTTCAGCCTATGCCTCCCAGTCCCAGTCCTGCAGCCTCTCCCATTCCACTTCACTGCCTGGCACACCCAGGCCCCGGGAGCAGGGAATCCTAGCCCTCTGGCTTCCAATCCAGCAGGACAGCACATTTTGTTTTCTGTAGCCTTAAAC